TTTTTGAAAATAATAACCGTGGAAGCCTTAAAAGCAATGTAATTATTATAACACTCAAAAATGTAACTTACTTAACACACGCGTTATAACATTTATTACATGTAATTTCATGTTTGCTGGAAATTGAAAAGAAAGAATACAAGGCAGAAACTGGAAACTTGATAAATCGGCATATTCATGAGTTAATATCTATATAATTTTCTTAACAAAATTGATCTCTGATTGTAACAGATAGATTATTATCAAAGTTGTGTAAATGTTGTTCAATCGTATCAATTGTATCAATAGATAATTGTATAGATAATTTCGATTTATTAGATAATTTCAAATTCAGCCTATTCTTCCTCTTGTCAATGCCTTTCCATATAGTAAGTATAAATTTTTATTTATGTCTTTATAGAATGTTTAAAAGATTCCAAATAAAAATCTAAAAAAAGAACAAAATACTAATAGAATATTGTATGATTTAAATAAGTATATTTTTCGTATACAAGTATAGAAACACAACAGAATTTTTTATTGCTTAATCATTAATAATATAAAAAATTATCCCAATCGTCATTATATATTCGATCATGTAATAATTTATATACAAAATTTACAATTTTTCTTTAGAATTTCTTAATTCTATTCAACTTAATTAAATATAAGTATAAATATTATAAGAAAATTGTCGCATTCTATCTTATATTTCTAAAAAATCTGTTTTACAATAACTTACTTTTATTAAAGAAATTTTATTTGACAGAAATGTTAATAATCATATAAATAGAAAGCATCTAAACACTATGAACATTTTATAATATTTTTGTATTACAACTATTTTTATTCCAAATATTTTTCCATCAAGATTCTCGCTTAAAAATCGTTTGCTTAAATACGCGCATTATTCTAATTTTCTTGCTAAGAAACTCTAAATTATTTTGACTTTATGATTGCAATTTTCATCTATCGTATCAAAAATTAAAATATTCCATATTCATTTTTCATTTTTCATTATTGGCTACATCATATAATTCGATAACTCTCAAATCGTCTTCATAATCTTAAGAAGTCTCCTATAAACGATTTTAGGCGCATCTTTGCCCCAAATAAAATCCAAATGATTAAATTTAGAGAATGGCACTCTATACAGGTCTAATACGTAGGGTAGCAGGCTGTTGAGTCTCTTCACATCCTTAAAAAATATTATGAATTATCGCACATTAACAATCCTGTGCTCTTTACTTATTATTGCGTAGAATTATTTACATGCAGTTAACATTAATCGATTCTTAATGCGTATGTCTCACATATCTTCTTGATCTTAAAGCCTTATTCCTTATCTTACTACTTACCAAACGGTTTGATAACCAGTCATTATCACTGTAGAACAATGCAATTGGCACCTTAATTTTAGTTAAATCATAGTCTGGCGGTTCTGTTGCATTGTAAATCACCAGATTTGTCTCGGGTCCGTAATCGTATCGGCGAAATTTACCCGATGTGACTTCCTGACCGTAGTGCACCAGCGTTTTAGTTGAAGCGCCGGCCGGGTCATGGCTCAGAATCACAGGCAATAGAGTCTAGAAATAGTATAATATTCGATCTGAAGAGTGATCGCGCGTATAAAATGTCACTTAAAATGATACTGAAAGTTACATTTCAAATGTTTTTAAAATACTCACATAGTCGAATTGTTCTTCGTCGAAGCCGCAAATCAGGAACAACGTGTTAGCGCAGATCTCCTTTTGCAAAGACTTCACTTTGCAACCATACTTCGCCAGGAAGTGCAGCACGCTATTCTGCGGCAGGAACTCATCTTCGCCGAAGAAATGTGCAATTGTCTGTAATCAAAGATCTCTTAATTATGATATTTATATTTTTTTATTATTTCGAAATGTATTTCTACTTCAGATTTATTCAAGATTTAGCGGATATTTAGAAAAGAAAATTCATTCGTTGTAATAATTTTTTGACGTAGTAATTTGAGTTCATACAATGCTTTGATAATTAAAATAATTTAGGTTTAAACATTATAGTATTATGTCTGATAAAAGTACGCACTTAAGAGAGATAAGGGAAAACATATTTTAGTTCATTTTTAGATATAATTTTTTCTAAAATTAAGCTTCGTGTAAAATCTTCTTCCAAATCCTGGTTATATTTATATGAAAAATTGATTTCATCTCTGGCAAAATAATGTATCTCTGTATAATTTTTTTTAACAATATATTCTCGCATTATATATCTTATATTATCATATTACCTCATAATCGTTTGCAAAAGGAGCGAAAAATCGTACTGGACTTTTCATGTTTGCTATAAAGGCTACGGGTGCAAAACTGATTATCGCTCGCACCATTTGAGCAATTTCCGGACGTTCCACTGCCATCACATAAGAAGCAGTTGAGCCCATCGAATGACCAATGTATGTATGTAATGGTTTTAATGTTACATTCGCGATATACGTTATCATCGCAGGCAGATCGTAGGTACCCATTTCGTGAAAACTGACAAAAAATGTGATTATTGTCAAATATAATAAGATATATAATAGCAGACATCTAATTAATTACAAAATAATATAATGTTAATTAAGTGATGTAATGTTAATTATCATTATTGTTAATTAATTGACTTGCATAATTTATTGTTATATTAAATCATGTATTGTTACGATTATATCATCTTCAATGCATTGTTATTTTTATTTTATCGATACGTACCTGAAATTCCAAAATTGTGAATTTGATGGAGATAAAGAAACATGGGCTCTTGAGTAAGTATTCCCACGAAAATTGCCCAACCAAACATCATATCCCTGATCGGCCAATATGAAAGCTAACACGAAAAAAATGTTAGTTTCTATAATAAAGTATTCTATAATTGATATCTGTAATATTATATACTAATTGTAAGTGTAACTGTACACATCATCTGATCAATTTTCTACATATTTATTTAGTTTTAAATAGATTAAATTTTTCATATTCTTTTCAAAATAAAAATTTAATAGTTTAAATATTTGTACATGACTCGTATATATATTATAAAAATGAAAATAAAAGTTTTTAGAAATTAAGAATCATTCTGCTCTAAAAAATTTTTTTATCGTGTTAAAATTTGAAAAATTATCTCGATATTTTCTTAATAGACATACAATTATCAATTATCAATTTCAAACATACAATTATCAATTTCAAAAATATTTACTAAGAATCAATCAAGATTATACCAAGTCCTTTATCTTTGCTGGGAATGACCCAATCGGCAGAGCTACACAAAAAACCGTGCTGCAGCAACACAGGTGGTGAATCTTTGCTACCTGGGATACGATGAATTGTTAAGATATAACCGTCTTCCGTTATTGTAAGATGAGCCTCTGCGGGATAACCTTCTCTTTTTATTATCTGCAACTAAAAGAGATAAAAACATTTTATTTATTATCAATGATATACGCTTTTAAAATTTATTAGAAATTGAATTAAATTTGTTATGATAAGATACATATTTATTTTAGACCTAATTGAATTTTATTTGAACGTTTTTTTTAAACATAAATTATTAAATCTAATATTAACATTAAATGGTATTAAAACGGTATTAAATATAATTAATTTGATAAACTGTTATATTTTTTAACAAAATTAATATAATTTATTTAATTAAATTAGTAATTATAATTAAATCATTTTTAAATATTGTAAATAAATTTCGATGTCCCGTCATACTATATTAAAAAATGGAAAATGTGAAAATGGAAATAATTTTAAAAAATAATACATTTTAAGGATTAAAATTTTAAGATTTAAAAAGAATTAAAAATTAAAATTCCAAATACTTATTCCTCAAATAGCCATAATTAAAAAAGCAGATTTAATGGTTGGAATACAATTCTTATAATAATTCTTATAATAATTTATTGTTTTCTATCATTTTGATGGAATATATGGTGGCTTTTTCAACACTAATTAATGTAATTAATAAAAACTAGATTAGTTAATAAATAGTTAAATTAGTTAATAAAATTAGTATAGTATAATAAAATTAGTATATAGTTAATAAAAACTTGGCTGCTTTTTATTTCTGATTTATTAATATTTTTTATTTTCCTCTTATATTTTATTGTACGTAGTACAAAGTCAGTCTTTTGTTTTGATTGACTATTTTTATTTTCGAGATTTTTTTATACTTATGTTTTAATTATGACTGGCGTGCGGAAATTTTTACTGACTGCGAACATATCTTCTAGATTCGATTTCTTGTGGTTATTCATGGAGTGGCTTCTTGCACATTCGGATTGCAACTGTCGTGACCACAAAATTTGATATCTACTCATAACATTGATCTTCATCACGGAATTTCAAGTTTGATTATTCGTTTATAATACTTATTATATATTATAGTATTTTCCGTTGATAATGACTCGAAAATGAGACCGAAACGTTCGGTTTTGTATTAATATTATGTTCGGAGTTTTTTAAAAAAATAAAAGCATATTTATTAAATATTTGCGTTCCAATCCATTAACAGCGCTTAACTCTTAGTTGCCTTTACATTTCTTGACATTTTTTTGAGAGTCTTGTTATTTTAATAAAATATAATTTAAAACGGGACCGAAACAATTACGCTAGCAATTGTATACTAATATCACATATATCATTATTTTTATAATACCGGTATTCTAAAAACCTTTAATAAATATCGGTACTACAAATGGACGTTAAATACCGGTATATAATTATAATTTTCAAAATACATAATTTTTTTGATATTGTACTTGTGTTATATCGATATTATTGCTATCATACGTAGAACATTAGATTTGTTTATGCTACTTGCATTTTTTGCAATTAAAACTCAAAACATTTTTATAACATTCTCAGAACATTTTCGATATGTTCCGAGAACATTATGACATTATGATATTTTATAACATTCTCAATACATTTCTTGGAATCTTCTGAAAATATTATTATAATATTCTTGAAGTATTTATGGTATGTCCTAAGATTATTATTATGACATTCTCAGACTATTATTTAACATTATATACATATTATATTAATCTTAAAATACATAACTATTATTTTGTGTAACTAAATTCATATAAATCTTTTTGTATAACTAAAATATAAATTAAATGTTTATTTGTAAAAAATGAAGAATTGATAGTATTTAATAAAATACACGAAAAAAAATATTTTCGCTAGAGTATCTAAAAATTTGACCAGATACAAACTAAAAATAATTTTATTAAATTATCAAAATAGTTACGATGTTCAAATTGGTTGCTAGAAAAATTTTACAATATTGTCATCATGTTTTACACAATAATTTTGATGGGGGCCCAACAATTATTTTCAAATCTTTATTTAATCAAAATTTGAGATACTCCAAGTCAAACGTTCTTTTGTAAGCTTAAAATGGAACGTTATTCATACTTCGATCTTATACTTAAGACTCTTGAATACGTCTTCAAATAATATCATTAGACAATCATCATCGTGCGATTGTACATACTGGGCTGCGTTCCGATTCTCCACCCGAGTGAACTTGCTGCATTAGAGTGAAAGAGATACAAAAGTGAGATAAAGAGAGAAAGAAAGCATCCGGGTGAGAAATCCGAACGCAATTCTGTATTTAAGATCTTACAATCTTAAATAGAAAATATAAATATGAAAGAAAAATACCGTCTACTTACCGTGTTGAGATCAACATTGGGATTCAATTTGGTGCTGTTCGATTGTTCATTGCTCGAACGCAAATTTCTAATAAGCGCGCTCAGCGACAATCGTCGTAAAATGTCGAATTGCGGCATGGCTGCGATGAAGCCGCAAAACGGCAGGAGGAACGCGAGTGCAATTATTCGCATCGTGTTGATGTGACGATTTGATCCACAATGAAATCCAATTGGACAGTGCAACTTCTCCTAAACTATTATAAAATACAAATAAAAGATAAAAATTATGAGTATAAGACTGAGCTCTTCTTGCTGCGTACAACAAAGCGCTGACGAATCGTTCCGTGAATAAGTGTTTATCAATTGGGAAAAAAAGAGAGGGAGATAGAAAAAGTGGAGGCATTCGTTAGTCATCCTATGATGGGATTTTATGAAAAATACAAAGCGCATGAATTATAAAAGCTATGTAAAAATGTATAAAAACGAGAAAATTCGTCCGCGCTAGATGGAAGTGTGCTTCTTTCATCTCATTTCTTCGGTTTATTCTTTTCATGTTGTGATTGTGATATTCTATTTATAATTGGAAGTACTTGTTCTGATCATGGAAAAATAGACAATTTTTTCATAAAATATTCATAATCAAATCTTATATTTAAGATCCTTTTAATAATAATTTTATATGATCATTGAATTTCATTCGATCAATTGAATGATCGTATAATATCTCGAAATCACGTTCAAGAATAGTATAGACAGGGCCGTCAAAAGCGAGTCCGAGCCTCGGTGAAAATATATGGAAAAAATAATTTTTGTTGAAGAATTTAGCCAAATATAAATCTGAAAATAATTTTATGTATTTTATTTCATTTCATTTTTGATTTTGCATGGATTTATTATGAATTTTTTATTTAAATAGATTTTTAATTTAAAGAGACACAAAATTAAAATATGATAAATTTAATTTTTATAAAAAATCGTTTACATATAATTAAATATAATTATATAAAGGTTATATAAAATATGTTCATATATAAAATTATATAATTATATATGAAGTGATGATAAACTATTATATGTGATTATTATACATTTATATATATATATATATAATTATAATTATATGTAAAAAATTTTTTCAAAATTTATTGTTATTCTTTGAGTATTAATAATAATTAATTAATTTCCTATTAGAAAAGATTGTTTATAATTAATAAAAATTTAAAATCTTCTATCTGAAGAAATCATCCATAAATATTTCGACCATATTCTTTCTATATTTATAAATTTTTGTTCGAAAAAAGAAATGTCTCGATATAATTTCTTTTCTTAATGAGATTTTATATGAAATCAATTTAACGTCAAATTAATTTTGAGTCAAATCCCTTGCGTCAATGTTACTTTAAACTTTTTTGCAACTTCACATTTGCCGAATGTGTACATCGCGCATGTTTGTCGAGCTTTAACTTTAACGCTTTAGAAGGGTCAACATTTTTGGCCTTCGTCACGATTCGATATAAACACATGGTTTTTTCTATAGAAAGAAAAATAGGGAGTTTTGTCAGAAATATAATACAGATAGACGAATCTCGAATCTCTTAGCACGGAAGTAATCGTCGCAGATACATACATCGAGGGTTGAGATCCTTTGTTTTCACCCTTGTCGACTTCGAAGAGGTCAGTAAATAGCGAATTAAGACGGTCGTTATAATTGCGTCGTTGACTTTAATTGCATTCAAGCAAGGTATCTTGAAACTTACATTGTCCTTGATTTTTTTCTATAATTTATTCGTCGATAAATATCGCATAGTGATGAATCTACGGCGATTGAAGATGCCGGTTAACCTCTAATCGTTCTACTGCGCACAAAGTGAAAAAAAGCTACAGATTCGATTTGCACGTTACATCGTGTACTTATATATCTATTTATAAATATATCTTATTGTTTTGCACTATCACTTTTAGAAAAAAATATAGAATATAACTTTTGCCACAGCGAGCAAGATTTTAAGCGAGCTAACAATGCCGGTCGATTAGCATCAACTGTATTAATATTAAGCTCTAGCTTGTGTTTTAACACAAGCCAAGCGGAATATTCGAAATCTGAAATCTATCACTTGAAAATTATTTAGGCGGAATATATTTTTTTACTGATCATCAAAGCAGATGAGCTTTTATATGCCTTCTATTTGTCTCCTTTCAAGTTATATGATACAAACGGAATATATTGGTTTAATTGGTTATGGCAGATTCCGCTTAGTTCTTGTAATAATATATTGTCATTATGTTTTATTAGCAGATTCTATTATATTTCTATTGGCAAAATTTGTAGTAGAAATCTGTTTTCTTGAAATCTGTTTTCAACGGATCTATCTGAAATAATATTATAAAAGTTGTTCTCTTTTGTTAACAGAAAATATAATATAGCAGGATGAATGAAGTCAAGTTGCCACCATCACCAAACTGGTACTTGAATAATATTCTTGCATGTTCAAAACGTGGAACTGTAGCCTGGGGCACGAAGAATTGCATTGTCATTGCCAGACAGAAAGAAGGCAATAATGCTATGCAATATTCCATAATCAAAGACCAATTTAGAGACAAAGTAACTGCAGTTGCATTTTGTCCTAAGTTCGAAAGCCTGGATAGTCCAGAATTACTAATCTTTTGTGGTGATGATGTCAAAGTTAAAGTTTGGAATGTGGATACATTAGAACCAGTAGATGAATTCTCTTTTGCTGATGTAAGTGACAGAACATATTAAAGAAATACTAAATATTTTATAATAATTCATGAATATTAAAAATTTTTATTGCTAAGAGAATAACGTATATTTTTAATTGTTTATGTAACTCATGTTAGTATATGTTTTTGTTAATGCAGGGAGTCAAATTGGTTGTAGGAGTTGACTGGTCAGTGAAAGATAGTAATATTGCATGTGCAGTAAGTTCGGAGGGTATTCTAATGTACTGTAATATACAGTATAATACTTCAAAATTAGTGCCTCTAGGCAAGCTAACTGCTACATGCTTAGCTTGTTGTCCTCATGATTCTAATCTTGTAGCAATAGGTACTAAAACTGGACTAATTTTTATCGTCCAAAAAGAAGTAATATTATATAAAATGAGGGGACATAATGAGGAAATAGTTAGTTTATCTTGGTGTCCTTCAGATATGAATGTATTAGCTAAAGAAAACACAAGAGACCTACTTTTAGCTTCTGGTGCAAAAGATAGGTAAGACAAAGAGCTTTCAGGAATATAACATAATGAAATGTAATAGACAATATGTATGCTATTTTTTATTACTTTTATATATAGATCTATATTCATTTGGAGAGCTGGTAGAGATGGCAGATATGAAATTCAATTAAATTTACCACATTTGCCACTCACAGGCTCTTATCAAAATAAAAGCAAGCTTAGTGCTGCAACTGGAGCCTGGATCGCAGTATGTTGGGCAGAACCCAAAGTGCTTTTAACTAGCTCTCTTTGGGGTGAACTTCTTTCTTGGGATCTTTCAACAAACAAAGAAAAGCCTTTGTACAAACTGTTACATACATTTCATAATAGAGGATTGTTTTGTATAGCTTCAGTACCTAACAATGATGAAGATGAAGATGATCTGACAAAAGAATCAGAAAATTGGAGGACAGATTCCGAGTGGGTGAACATTTTATGTAAATTATTATAATGTTGAAGAACATTGAAATTTATGATATAATATTTTAGGCTTAGAGTTTGGACTTTAGCACAAGATCGCTGGATCATATGTTGCAAACGAGACAGCGATCCTACCAAATCAGTGATACTGGAACATAAAATTCCTACACAAGGAGGATTTGTCTACTGTATGAGCGCTTGTCCTATCGATACTTCGCGTATCGCATTTGGTGCAGGAGACACAATGTTGCGTCTCTGGAATTTATCGGAACCTCACACAACGACTTTTGATATTATTACTCATTGGCAGAAAATAAAAGGAAAAATAAGAGCGGTAAGAAATTCTTGCGTCAATTCTTAGAATTTTTTTCTGAAATATTTTCATGTATAAAAATTATAAATTAATAATTAAAAATACACACATTGCATTAGATATCATGGTTTCCGTATGATGAAACTACAATTGCTTTTGGTACTGGAGAAGGTCGTGTTGGTGTATTTGAAGCAATTGGAACCAACAAACCACCTATATTATATAGACAATATCACAGACATACCATTTACAAGATTGAATGGGCTAAATTTGAATCAGAAAATTATTTGTTCTCCTGTGCAGAAGGAGAATTAATAGCATACAAGAAATCTGCACCGAATGATGGTAAGATATTAGTATTCGTCGTTTTATTGCATTAATTTTTTAAACATTGCAATTTTTATTTCAGAACCCATGTCTATAATAAAAAAAGGATGTATGGAATTTTCTTGGAAATCCAATTTATGCTTAGCAGTTGCATTCGAAAATGGGTACATATATACATAAATTATTTAAAAGATGATTAAAGGAATTTTTTAAAAAAGATTTTCTTTTTAGATCGCTTGCATTTTTCGATCAAAAGTTAAGAAAACGCGGCAACTCAATACACATTTTAAGAACTACGGTGAACTGTCTAGTGTGGCATCCCGAAAGTACAACGGCAGAAAGATGGACGTCGCCATATGCCAATTACTTGGCAGTTGCCTCTGATTCGTGCGATATAATAATTTTTGATCTATCAAAGTTAATAATAGAATTGGAGAAAACAGGTACAAAAGATCTTATAGAAAATGAAGATAAAGAACAAGAAAAAGATCGCACGAGCCACAAAATAGTAGCAACATTAACTGGACATTCCGATAGAGTAGTGTGCTTAGCTTGGAATCCGCATTTCAGTGGACTCTTGGTATCTGGTAGTTACGACAATACTGCACAGGTCAAAAATAAATATATACAATATTTAAATTATTAGATATCATTCGATAACTGATCTCTATATTTATTCAAACATTTTATTTTATTATCAAACATGAATTTCCAAAATGGGTTATTATTCGTTATCTCATACTTTTTTACTCAATTTTTAATTATTTAAATTAATCTCTGAATAAAACCAAGGCATACATAGAATGAAAATCGGGATCAAATTCAAAAAAATCAGTTAATATCCGCTGATTATAAATAAATTATTTTCGCATGAAATCATGCATTATTCTCTGTACCAGTTTATTAAACTTGTATCGTCAAAATTTATTGTTACTATGTAATTTGCTATACAATTATATTAATACCAATGGTTGTAAATATCAAATTCTATTGAAATATTATTTCCAGAAATGTGATTCATATTTTCATATTTTCTTATATAAATATCATTATTTTAGATATGGAATGTTGAAAAACAAGAATTAATAGCCACATACATGGGTCATGATGGACCTGTATTATGTTGTATGTGGAGTCCTATCAAACCGCAATTTATAATGACGGGATCAATGGACTTTATGCTTCACATATGGGATTATACATCGTCTGAGCAATCACCAAAGCAACCTTCCGAAGTTAAAGTCATAAAGAAAAAACATAAACAGAAAAGATTGCTGAAAAATAAAACAGATGATTGTGAAAACGATTTGACTACATTGACAGATTCCACTAATCAGTCTGCTGACATACCTATCTCAAGTAATTAAACAATATATATATATATATATATATATTTATTTATTTATTTATTTATTTATTTATTTATGTATTTATTTGATAATCGATATGCGATTATAATTATGCTGATTTTCAATTGCAGAGCCTCAAGTGCCAAAGAAAAAAGAAAAAAATCATACTTTAATAAATATAATAGAATAATAAATGACAAATCTGTAATCCTGAATTTTATCAAGAATGATATAAGAAATAATCAAAAGCAAAGCAAAGAAAACACTGAAAGTGAAACAAATTTCTCATTATTTTGTGAGCAAAAGGATGATCTTTTGACATTAATTTCTAATGAAAGTAAGTTTAACTTTATTATTGATATTTTTGACATATTTTCGATTTATATATTATCTTATTATTTAATAATAGAGTTAACTCAAGACAATGCAGAGACTAATATTGAGATAGATATGTGGTGTAACAATTTGGAGGAGAACTTGATCTCCGCGGTCAAAAATCATCAATTAAATGATTTTTTAATATCGCTTGCACCTCACGTTTCTATCAAGTATGTATGAATACTTTTTCTAAAACTAAATTATAGATATCATTTATTTTAAATTGAAATTATGATTTTACAGAACATGGAGGGAAATGTGCGAGGCTTACGCGCACCAGTTAGTGGAACAAAATAATCCAGGAAAAGCAGTGGCATATTTACTAAGTATACACAAAATTTATGATGCTATAGAAGTATTTTTAAATGCCAAGTTGTTTAAGGAAGCTTACGCAGTTGCACGATGTAAATTGGATACTGATGACCCATTCCTAAAAAAGATATTAGAACAATGGGCAGAGTGGACTGTTTCGAAAGGTCACTTGGAGCAAGCAGCTCATTGGTGAGACGATTATTTTTTTAAATCAACTTTTTTTATTAATTATGCATTATGTGCGGTATAGAATACAGTAATGAAAAATATATTTTCCATATTTTATATCTAAAGAAAGAATATTGTTTTGCATAATATTAATATTGAAATATAAATAATAAAGCTATAGAATTTTTATTAAATTAATTTTTAATGTTACATGTATTAGTTATGTAAAATTAAACGACTATGAAAAAGCAGCAAACGTTCTTTCTCGTCGAAAAGATATATATTGTCTGGAGATAGCGTCAGAATTAGCGTTTTTAAGCGGTGACGAGGGACATGGTAAATCCTTAGCTGTGGACGCTATGACACGTGCCCTTATAAAATCGGAGTGGTCAAAAGCGCGTTCCCTCATCACAGACATTCGACAAGTTCAGGTGCATTTTAATACAAAACACGCACACATAAATTTTTATATTAATATGCAATTTTTATATTAACATACAAAAATTTTATGTATAGTACTTAAATGTGAACATAGATGCTCACGAGATAATTATGAGTACATATTTAAAAGAGACTGAGTTAGATGTAATAAAGATATGGTTGAAAGAAAAAGAAAACAACGGTCTAATACAAACTCTTGAAGAAAAATATGATACTTCTTATTATGATATCTTGCTTAAAAACGAAAGTAACAACATTGTTCTAAAAAATATAACAAATGAGGAAATGGTAAGACAGAACAAAAATAAAAATGATATTCTTTTTATTGATAATATTTAATGACAATATTTTTCATATATAAAAAAATATTTTGTATTATTTCAGATGCAAATAAAGATTTGTTATCAAATCGCCTTAGCAGCCACGTGTGATGCTAAAGAAATCAGATTGAAACATATAACAAGAGCATTAAATAACATAATCGAATATGAAAAAGCAGTAGCGAAATACGGAATACCAAAAGAAGGATTTTTCATGCATGTTCTTACGAAATTAGATACGAGAAAGCCAACAAACAAAGACAGTATTTACGCAAAGAGCAGTTATCCTGTTTCACAAAGTTTACGTGCTTGTTTATGTGTCGGTCTCCTAAATTGGTTACTGAAATATTTAGTAAAATTATCGGTTGAAGAAGAAACACAGATTATGCAATTGATAATAGATTTGATGGACGATGCTATAAACAAAACAAATCTAGATTATCAGATTAAACTTCTTAAATATGAAAAACTCGAGAATGAACTTATGATTCTTAAACGTTAGTTCTTTGTCCTAATCCTGTTAAACTTTTGTTAGATCCTTAACATACATACAATTAGATTCATGTAATGACTAATTAATTTGATAATAATGGTACATTTTATATTAAATGTTTTATATTTTATGTTTTGTATTTGCAGTGGAAAAGGGAAACGAAACTGAAAATCATAATTACCAGACTATTGAGGAAGAGGCAGAAATACTTAAAATCTATGTAAACAAATTCTGTGAAGATCGAATTTTTATACCGGATCCCTTTGATATTTTTCAAAAGACTTGCTCACTTGTTAAAAAGTTGCAAGAGAAAAATCAATTTTTGTTTTTAGCGTGTTTAAATAAATTAGTCGAAGAAACAAAAATAACCCAAATTGGAATAGAAGCAAGTTTGCTAAAGCAAAAAAATTTGACAATTTCTGATACAGATTTAAATTTAAGTTCAAGTTCAAATTCAAGTTCCAATTAGCTTTTTGCACTCTGAAAACTTTACATATGTATATGGCTATCATGTTGCGAAACAAAAAATTAAAGAAATAGAAGTATAAAGAATATGAATAATACACTAATAATTTTATCTTAAAAATAAGCTATGTATAAATTACTTTTATATGTTATCTGTGTATTTTATAAAATACATTATAAAAATACATTTTTTTTTTTAAATCGCAAGTATGCAGTTTTATTTCCAAAAGTATATATATATATATATATATATATATATATGTATATATATATA